TTATTCACATAGCACATTTCTTTGAGTCCACAGGGCCTGTCAAGGGAAGATGTGGCAATGATGAATAATGCATTCCTGTCAGTGATACCATCAGCTCAAACTGCTACACAGACAATTCACTTTCCTTTCAGCCTCAACAGGCTGCTCCTGGGCCTGCTTGCAGGCTTCACAGACCCTTTGAGAAATTACTTAGTAAGTCAGAAAAGTCAGAGGGCATTTTTTTCTGCAGGAGCTAAAAGGAAAAGAGCCTCCCTGGGTTCTGTGGGGGTGATGGAAGAGGGCAGTGAAGGAGCAGCTGGAACATCGCTTTGTGGTACAGATGACTGCAAGCCTCCATCTATTTGGGGTTGCTGACAGGCCCCATACCACTTATTTACTCAGCTAGATTTGGCCACTGCTGACACTCAGATACGAGGAGACACTGGTACAAGATAGTCCTGCAGGCTCAGCAGGAGCTGTGTGCAAAGCCCTGGTGGGCCATCAGGTTCAGCAGCTGTTTACCAGCAAGGGATCCTGAGCAAGGGCTCAGTCTCCCTGAGACTTGTTCACGACTTGGTGCTTGAGAGACTTGCAAGCTCTGTTCCTGCCTGCACTGAGCCAGCCTCAGCTCTTGTAACACATGTCCTAGCAGGGAGCTGGCTGCTTATTTCTCTTTATGGAAAACAGTCCTTCCCAAGCCTGCATCCCTCCACTGCACTTAGCTATACACAGTGTTCTCTTTGGTCCCCCCTCACTCTTCCAAACCAAGCTCACACAGACTCTTCTCACCTGTGGATGCAGGCCTAGCTACCATTTCTTGCTGCTCATGGCTCCCCTGACTGGAGCCATACAGTGGCCAACTGCAGATATGCTCTGCATTTAAAGACATGCCCACAGTGCCAACCCAAGCCTCTGCCCTGTCCTAGTGGGCCAGCTTGAAAGCAGGTCATCACTTGAGCAACTGAGGCTACCCTGCTTGTCTAGCTACTGCAAAATGCCTAATTTTCCACCAGAGCAGTCCCAGACTCTGCCAGCCAGGCCAGGCACTCACCTCCTCACGGTGCGGAGCAGCGTGGATCGCGCCTCATTGTGGAAGGTGATGATGACACTGGTGGCAGGCAGGTCGGTGTCATAGCGCACAGAGGTGCACCTGCAGCACAGCAGAGCACAAGTGTAAGCCAAACATTACCCAGCAGCAGCGCACCCAGAATTTCTAAAATGAGAGTGATATGCTAAAATCAGAGCTGCAGCAAGGGAGGCCTCAGCAGCTCCTGCACCAAGGTTGGCAGAGCTTAAAAAGGACTGTGCTTATTAAAAAGCAATGCTTGGAGCCTGTGATACCTAAATTCACAAAGCTGCATGCTAAGGAGGTCATGTGGGTTTTATAGAGAACTAAGTTTCAGTTATGGATTCTAGTCCCTGGATTTACCTGTGATTCACATAAAATCTTGTTTATTCATGCACAGGACATGAACATGTTAAGGATGCATGGAGCTGATACACACAGGCATTGCTGTATAAAGCACTTCAAATTCTTTGGACACAAACTTCACTAGCTAGTTCTGGGATCTGCTCTGAGGAGCTGCTGAGGCTCAACACTAATGGACCCACTGGCAATGAAGAGCAATTCTTTCTATCTGCTCATCTGACTTGATAATGTTAGTTAGATACATACATTCTCACACTCAGAACCAAGGATTAATTTGCACCAGGCTGCTTCTCTCTGTGGAGAACAAAGTTTCTGTGAGGGCCACAACTCACAGATGTGAATCCTGAATCCAGTTCTGGCAGATGCTAAGCATGGCTGATTTGGGCCGACCTGCTCCTCCTCATCTACCTTCTAAACTCCCAGACAGTGTCAAACTGCAGTCAGTCTGCTCTAATTTCCTGTCTGATCAAGAAACTACACTTACTTTTAACAAAGGAATCTCCGTCCTGAGAGGGAATACAACTTGCTTATTAGACCCACTACTTGTAGGTCTTCCTCATTGTGATACTTCCACATTTACTTACTATTTTTTTGTGACTGTTGCTAAATTGTTACCGGTTTTCTCATGACTTTCAATCCTACCGGTTTATGACTTTTTCATTGCAGTGTTTTATTAAGGGGACAGCAACTTCTTACAGCAATTTTTAAACATATAGAGAAACCTGATAAAGACTAAAGTGGACAACATGAGAACAGACCTGAGACAGACCATATTTGTTATTGTTTCAAAATAACTCCATGATGTAATGCATACAAAATGTATTAAGGAATCAGAAAGTAGAAAAGCAGAAAAGACTGATGTATGTGTTATTCGGGGAAGTTTTCCCAGTGTTTTAGCATTACTACAGCATCACAGAGAACAAGGACAAAGAAACAGCTACATGCTAAGTCAGAAGGAGCTTGTAGGATGTGAAGTCAAGTATGTCCCTGCTCTGGCTTGGGTGCCTGAAGAAAAATTGATAAGCTCGTGACCTACAGACTCTCCCCATTCCTTAAACAAAGAGCCAGGTCCACAATCTAACTTGTATCAGCTGAAATAAGTCATCGTGCTCAGTTGCCATCCTAGCAACTATTCTAGTGTTGTTATAACATAAGATCATCAAACACAGATTGCTCATTCCCAAATTCTCCCTGTAAAGGGAAGAAACATGGAAACAGGTATATTTGTTCTGATTATATACTGCTTTGGACTTTCCATTACTCAAGATAATCCTTGAAAAGCTGCATCTGAAATGGCTATACATTTGCAAGGAAGCACACATTTTACTCTTCTGACAGAAGTGCACAGATGAGGCTCTTCACAAAAAGTATGCTCTGCATGCTATCACAGATCAAAATAAACAATAATTCACCTTTGAAGTGAGCTGGTCTTAGGCCAGAACACGACAGCAGATTAACAGAAAACAGCAATTCTGCATGGCAGGGAGACTTGTCAGCAACACAAAACATGGCACCAGTGCCTCTGAGTCACTAGGAAGTCAGGCCCAAATACTCTGCTGGAGAACAGCAGCACAAGACTTGGATCCCACACCATGGTCCTGACTGCTTGCCTTCAAAAAGCACCCTGAGGGCTGTCAGTGCTGGCAGGCTCATAAAGCTTCTTGTCTCCTGGCATCCCTTTTACAATTTCAATCAAGTTAGATGTCTGGTTTCCTGCTCCCAGCAGCTGTGAAATGTTGCTTTGCAACCATACCATATCGAGAACCATACACAGTTCTAGGTAGAGTCTAGGACTGAAGTAGGCTGTTGTACATTACCCTATTACTATTAAACCTATGGTTTTCAATAACCTTTTTGTACTAAAGCATTACCTTCTTGTACTCCAGAAACTGCAAAATAGTTACCCAAGCACTATTATCAATTCAAGCACGATATTTTTCAGCAGAATAAATACATCCTCAGTGAAACAAGGACAGAACAACAAGTACTTTGCAAGCCATGAAACACTATATTTGCACATTAGTTTCATCCCTGCCTCAGCAGCCCTCATCCAGTGATGTTCAGGCTAGAAAGAAGCACCAAACCAGCTTCAGACAGCCAGGGCACAGCAGGTGAGGAACACCAGAGTAAAGCAAGGCTGCAACAACAGTGTACTTTGCAGCCAGGACAGAAGGATGCCAAGCAAAGCTGTGAGTGTGGGGGCAGTTGGGCAAAAAAAAAACAACTGTCCAATAATGAGCTGCAGTGGTGCTAAAACAAGATGATGCTTGGACCTGGAAAAAGAGATGTTTGAAAAGTCTCAGGCTGGGACTGAATTAGTCACGGTTCTCCAAGCATTTGAGACCTCTCCAGATGAACCACGAAATTCAGTGAAACAGTGGATCATAGCTGGCAAAGAAAAACCCAAAACTGCACATTGCAGAGTGGACTCCCTGCAGCAGGCAGGGCTGGGAGCAGGGGCTGCAGGGTACCTGTAGTGCCTGGTGTCCCGGATGGGTCGGTCACTGCTCAGTTTGTCACTCTCCAGCTGGTTAAAGGCGTGCTGGCGGTAGGGGTCCTCTCCAGCCTTCAGCACCTTGGAGGACAAATAAGCCTTCTCATCAAAACCCCGCCGGCTGTTCTTGTCTCCTTGGGGAGCCCTCGTCATCTAGAGCACAGACAAGCATCAGAGCATCAGGGACAGCAGCTTATTTGGACAGAGATAATACATTCAGACGTTGCCACACTTCTGGAAGTCACTCAGGTATGGGGGAAGGCAGGATAGGCAAGAGCTTGGAAAGGAAAGCAGGAGTCCTCACAGACAGGGTGTTAAAATTGCCATCTCTGAGGAAAATTGCAGGCTTTGCTATCCTTACTGACTAAGCTTGGGATGAAAGCTGCCGTTCCTGATAGCGCAAGCAGAGCCAAATTCCCTTTAGCACCTGTTACACAGAATGTGTGAGACTGCAGGCATTCGGAAATCCTTCCAGGCAATGGATGACTGAGAACAGCCTCCAGCCAAGGTGGTTGAGACACCATATTTTGAGGAAAACCAGTTTCAACCTTTCAACAATCACTGCCACATACAAACACAGAGCACAGAGGCAGCCGAGTTAATAGCTTCCCTGCTGTGCCCTGCTCAGACTTGTCCAGTCTCACAGATGTCCCTGATACAGTTGAAAACAGAACATGATGCCCCCAGTGACCCACAAGAGTTAAAAGACCAGGGCCATCCCTCTCCTCTCCTAATTTTCCTCTAACTTTCCCAGGCCACAGAGTCAGCACAATATCAGAAAACCATTCACTAGGGTCATCAGGAGGGAGGACAGGCACAGCTCTGGCCCTCTCTTAGGTACATGATTCTCTTTGGAAAAAACTTACAAACTCTAATAAAATATTTGCTTAAAGAGCAATCAAGACTATACAATAAAAGTAGTTTAACAAATTGTCAGCAGCTGTTTGATAGACCAAATCATGAAAAAGACAAAATATTTCCAGCCTTGGAAGGAGTGCTAGATCTCCCTAAAACTGCTGCAGGAGGCAGATACTGGCACTTACACGTCTCATTCAAAGTACTAGATAATCCTAGATCTTGAGATCCTGTTATGTAAAATAGCTTGGATACTCTCTAGTACTCGGCTTGATCACGTTTCTCCCTCAGCTAAACGTCTCCTTTTAGGAATACAGAGGTCAAAAGACCAGAGAATGGTCCCCAGTATCACACAGCACCTTGGTTGAACCATCCTGGTAGGCTGGGAAAGAAATCAAGAGACTCAACAGCACAGCAAATTCTTTAGGCAGAAGAATGCTTAGAAGAACATTAATCTCTGCAACTTTCTCTGACAAGGGCTACCCTTCAGTGCAGACAGCCCCAGGAGAATGAGACAAGATGATAAGCAGATAAGATGATAGCAAATAAAATTCAGCATAGAGAAGTTCAGGACAATGAACATTAGAAAAAATAAATTGAACTACACATGTACATTGATGGATTTCAAATGAACTGTGACCACTCAGGCTGCAGATCTGAGCATTCCCGTGGACAACTCAAATGGAGCCCTGCACTCGCTCTGCCAAGATGGGAAATGCAGCAAATTGAGTGCACTGCAAATGAGACAGAGAAAACTGAAACCATCGTGAGCAGTTATATGAAATCAGAGGCAGCTCAGCAGCAGTGGCCAGAGCACAAGATTTGTTAAGCCTGTATCTGAAGGAAGCTACTGGAGGATGAAGAGAAATTAGAGGTTGGGACTATTCCATTTGGAGAGAAGATTAATTAAGTCAGAAAAAAAATGAAGGCAACCCATAAAATTACACCTAATACAGCCAAAGTTAGCCTGATGCTCAGATTTCCCTTTCTCACCATACAAGAATAAGGCAAACATATTTTCATGGGGGGGGGAAGAAAAAAATAGCTATTATTTTCGGCCCTGAGAAATTCCTTCAGCCACTGCACAACCAAGCCAATGTTTATGGATCTGCCCTTGTGTAGGACACACATAGGCACACTCCAGTGGGTGAGTCTGCTCCTCCAGGCAGCGAGTGCCCTGCTCTGCCACCCCTTCTCCAGGGATGATGCTGCCATCCCCTCTGCCCCTTACAGCCACCACCACATCTCCTGGGCATGGTGCTGGGTTATAGGAACATCTTGGCTACTTTTATGGCTGCTTGCACAGCCTAGTACCCAGAATCTTCCTTGAATTTGCATTTTCAGTATGATGAGAAAATAATTACTTTAATACCTCTAAAAACTAAAATGTTTTCTTAAATCATACAAGGAGTTTCATCAAGCTCAATTTCTATTTATCTTTTCCCTTTTGCCCTAGAAAACAACGCTAATTTGAAGCAGAAGCCCAGCTTATCACACACCTGTAAATATTTTGCAGTCACTTACTTGCTCTTTGATACTTATCTCTTGCCCCTCCAAGTCCCATAAAAGCAACAGCTGTTTTTGGTTTAGGTTGCCAGGAATATACTAGAAAATGCTAGAAATGATAACATATTTTCAGAAGACATTTCTCCCAGGAGAATGTGAGGACTGGGGTTCCCTATAGTGGGAAGCAGGCAGGGACAATCCTACACCCCAGCCAGAAGTGGGCACCAGGGTGGGGGCACCGGGGCATCCCCACCACTGGGAATCAGGCACCTCTCTGGGGAAGGACAGGATGAGGGCTCACCTTGGCAGGGTCCATAGCTGGGCAGGGCAAGGCTATTGGGAGCCAGAGACCAGCCCTGCTGCAGCATCACCGGGACAGGGGCTGTGAGACCCTGGGGTCCTGGCCACGGGCAGGGAGGGGAGAGTCCCTGGGAGTGGGCAGGGACAGGAAGGCCCTTTATTGCCCTAAAAGCCATGACATATTTAAACTTGAACTATCGGGGTAATTCTTTTAGATACTGTGGTTCTCTCATACATCAAAAAGTGGTAAAAGAGCACTGGGAAATTATTGTCAGTTAAGAGTTAAGTCCCACTTGCAGTTTTATCTCAGACAGTGTCTCTTTGTGCTCTCTTCAAAAGGGGAAAAGGGAGGATTGAGAGGATGATAGCTAGGGGGGCCTGGCTTCAGCTTCCAGAAAGGCAGCTAATCAATAGATAATCAACAAGTAACCAAACATCCATCTATGAGCACCAAGAAGATAACAAGGTAATAAATAGGACCTAACTGAGATTTGTCAAGACAGAGTCATGTCAGACCAATCTAATTTTCTTCTGTGATGGAGTAATCAGGCTCAAGGGTATGGAGAAGCAGGAGACAGATAGCTACATCATGACTTTGATAATGTTTTTGGTAGGGGCTGTTAAGATGTTGTCATTAGCTACCCAGAAAAATAGTCTGAGTGAAACTACTGCAGAATGGGTGAAACTGGTTGGAAACCTACTGATAGAGCATAATTATTAGCTGCTCACTATCAGAGCAGAGGGGTAAGAGCAGCTCTTAGAGGTTTGTTATGGATCCAGCACTATCCAGTATTTTCATAAATACCTTGGATATTCAGACACAGTATGTTTGTCAAATCCATAGGAAATCCAGAAAAAATTTAAGACATATTGGGTAACAGCATTAGAATTCAAAATTATCTCACCACATGAAAAAGTACATCTGAAAACAGTAAAAGCAATACAACAAAGGCACTGCAGATCTTTACAGTTCACCAGGTCTGTGCTGACACAAAACATGGCAGAGACAGCACAGTAGCAACCCCTCAGAAAAGCCCTAGACACTACAGCTCATTACAAACCACAGGACAGCAAAGTCAGATTAAAAAAGCAGAGCAAACACAGCCCTGAGTGGAGCCTAGACAGCTATGAACTAGCCTGACAAAGGAAATATAAAGTTTATCTTTAGGCACTGACTTGCTTTATCAGATTATATTCCTAGAACATAGATGTTGCACTACAAGACGTTTATTGCTGTGAAGTCAAATGACACTTGACAGGAGCAGTACAGGTTCTCTATGAAACCCTGTGAGAAGGGCAGACTAATGCCTTCCCCCTCTTTCCTGTCTCCTCACCTTAAAACCTCTCACTTCAGGAAGAAGTCAATATAAGCAGGTATTAGCTTTAGTATATTAAAGGTACATTATGTACAGCTGAGTGTGGAGTCAAGACTTTTACCAAACCAACAGGACAATTCACACCCCCGAGTCCTTTACATAGTTACATACCTGTATCCCCATGCTTGGGGCTGGAACTACAAGTGTGAGTTAGGGGAGCAGAAGAGCCTAGTTCCTTATGACTGATGCTCTCTGATAGATTAAAAAAAAAAAGTTACATGAAAGCAGAAAAAAAGATGAATAGGCACTGGAAATGTGAGTGTCTAGACTAGGGATTAGCAAACAGTTTGCACAAATTAAGTTTTGTCCCAAACATTGCTGAGACCTCCAAAAAATTCACATATGAAAATTTCAGGGAATATTGTAAGCCTTAGAATCTTACTTCACTATTTCTCATTTTCACATATACTTTCCCTTTCAGTGACAGAATGGACTCAGATGCTCTTCTACTGTTAAAAACATGTTCTGATTTGTGTTTTGACATGGTTCAAGGGACCAGAAACTATTTAAGTAGCAAAATTAACTTTGGAAGCAAGGGATTAAGGAAAAGGAATTAATGCTATGCATGTCTATGAAAACTTGAGAGCCTCATTTCTCGACTAACACAAGGATATTCCTCCAGGCCTGATTCCTTGTGAAACAGCAAGACTGTAACAGAGGCAGTACCATTCATCTCTGTGCATTGTCCTAGTCTGCCATCAGACACAGGCACACCAGCTCTCACATCGTGCTAACAGCCACTAAAACCAGAGCTAGGGAATTCAGGGTCCCAAGGTGAATATTTTTAACAGCAGGTTTGGCTAAATTCAAAATGAAAAACCGTACTCTAGGGGTCATGAGGAACCACTACTTAATTAGAGTAAGGTATGTAAAACTCTCAAAGGTAAGTGCAATTAATCATTGTACAGTTACTGTGAAATTAGTCCAGCAGAAGTTTCATGTGACAGAACATTGACTTAGCAGCTCCTGCACTTCTTACAAGCATTTAGTGCCAGTACAACAAACGGAGTAGGGGGTATCATGCTTCTCCTTTGTTTTAAGCTCATTTTCACAATTGTCTCAGCTCTGTCAAAACCCAGAAGTTAAAAGCATCAATTCCAAGCCATCCCCACGAAG